GAGCACAGTATCCTAGTCAGTCATGCAGATTCTCATGAGGGTTGTAAACTCTTCAGAAGCCTAAAAAGGCTCTTGCAGAAGACCTGAAAAACCACAGGCAAATGCTGCTCATTGTGCCCGTGAAAATAATAAAAAAAAAAAAGGATAATGCAGTCAATCATGTGAAATAAACCCTACATTTTTCAAAAGCCACAGGTGAGAAGCTGATCATGTAAACACCCACAAAGTATATTTTTATGAACATGTGAGTAGAATTTCTGTTTGCTAAACAATTTTTTGAGACCAAAGCAAAGAAAAATTAGTTTAATATGGCTGGTCTGATTGATTCTATTGCTCACTAAACAAAAATTTTATTTCACTCATATGAATACACTCCAGGAGGCTACAACTGCAGCTTTTTGAAAAGGATACCAGGTGGTCAAAGACCACATTTCCCTTGCACAGAACTTGGGTAAATGCTGTGTGACAACTGTTCCACTACACTTCCCTGTGAAAGCAGCCAAGCTGATAATAGAGCGTGTCTGCTCTCAGTACAACTATATTTGTATATTCTTTTCAAACACTACTTCACTTTGGTTTGGAACAGAACTTTTAGTGGGGCTATTACTTAAATTCCCCGTTTACTTATTGATTTGTGTCCCATTAACACTCTCATACAAAAATTCAGAACACCCCCACACTACCAGCTTCTGCAAAAAGCTGGCTTCAGTATAGTGCAGCAAACACAAGGAAACCTTAATTCCCTGCTGCTGCATCTGCTGTGAAAGTAAATATTTTATCACCTTTGTCAGCAGAAAGCTGTGCACAGAAGTTCAGGAAGCACCTTTGGTGGTTAACACCTCTCTGAGCTGACTTCAGTTACTATGGCACCAAGAGTAAAAATCCCATTGGCACACACATGCAGGTGCACACATGCAGAGATGTTCCAGCAGTTCCTGTGCCCCTTTTCTGATCCACATTTACAGGAGCTCACTGTTCCATCAGTGCTTTGTGAGAAATCACTGAATGCATCCAGGATGGCACCTCTGAGTATGGATTTTGCACATCTGCCTCTGGAGGGTTTCTGTTCATTTTCTGACTGTTTGGGAGGAAAGGCTTGGGCAAAGTAGCAAGCTCTCATTCGTGTGGGAAGCTGCTACAACAGGAAGGGAAAAATTAACCTGAACCCATTTTCCCAACTTCTTCTCTTTCCCTGAGAGACAACTGAAACAGGAGCATTTGGCTCACTAATTATCCACAAACCTGTGTACAGTTTTATAGATATAAAAGCATACTACAACCATTGTAAATTCAAATATGCCAAGAGAAGTGGCAAATTTAAACCTGACTAGGCAAAATTAATGTACATAATAACTTTAATTAACCAATGAAGTACAATTTTTCCATAATCCCCAGCCTCTTCTCATGCAAGTGCTCCATAGTGTTCAGTGAAAAGGCAGCTGGTCTGTTTTGCCTTTGTAGCCTTCATAATATACCCCAAATGATTTGTTCCTCTTATAGAACAATTATTTAATACTGACTTTTTGAGAGAAGGTCATCATTAACATATATAAGTGCTCCACATTATCACTAGGAGGTAAGAGGCTTTTTATATGTATATGTGTTAATAAATGTTTAAAAATTTGAATTATATATGTATAGAGATGTTTTATATATGCCTCTCATTATTACTTTATATATGAATGATGTTTATGTGTGCCTGTGTTACCTGTAGGTAGTTTTGTAGGTATGGTTAAGTGTAATACCATGTATAATTGAAATAACTTAATGATATAGATGTTTATATAGGTGGGGAACTGATTTGGAATCCAGTTTGCCCAGTCTGGGATATCCTTATTTGGCATTATAAAGCACACCTCAGTCTCTGCATGGATTTGGCTGATATCATTTATACTTCCCAGTGGTCAGCATCTCCACAGCCAAAGCAAAAAGGGTCCAGAGTTCATGAAGTTTTTCCATAAATGCTATATTTAGCTGTACATAGGAGTTCACCAAGCAAAAGGAAATTCCTGCTTTCCAGAACAAGATGAATTGGTCCTTCTCATTTTCCAGGCTTCTTTTCTAATACTATGACAGCCTGTGATACTTTTGGAGGTATCTATGAATACTTTTTGGTTTTTATCCTTACTTGGATGATGCCCAGAACAGTGACTGGTATTGAGTGATGGGGAAGTTGGCGCCTTCCAGCAGCAAGGCTACTGGGAACCCGCATGTTGAAGCTCTTCCTCACCAGAGATGAGAGCACAACATAATTTTAGAGAATGTTGGGAAGCAGTTGGACTTTCATCTTCCACTCTCACTGTCATTAAATCCCTGTTAGTACAGCTACTGCAGAACCAGGTTGGCCCATGGGGCTGGAAGCTTCCTGGGAGCACCATGGTGAGATGTTCCCAGAGTACCAAGACAAGGAGTGGCTGTGATGGCAGACACAGCCCCCACTCCAGTTACAGCAGTCCTGGACATTCTTCCCACTAATGTGCCACACTACAGCTTGGCACTGAAGTTAGGTAGAAAACCTCCCTCTGCCCTGGGAATTAATGTCCCTTTTCCCTCTGAGGAGTATCTTTCTGCAGCAGCACCTTTGCCTTCCCACAGGGGCTCCAGCTGCCAGGAGGTGCTGCTAAGGGTTTGCTTGCTCTTTTTTAGGAGGCAAACTGTGCTGCTTGAGTGACCAGGAGCAACCTGAAGTGCAGGCATATTGCCTGGCATTTCATAGTTATGGATCTCTTGGGGGGAAAAAATCCACAACAAAACACAGATCAAGCCGCTCTGTGCTGAAATCCAACAGAACTCAAATCCTCCTTGGCAGCAGCAGCAGCTCAAGGGGACAGATGGCTGAAAGCAAGCCAGGTGTGCCTTCTCCTCCTCCTCCTCCTCCCCCTCCTCCACTGTGGTCCATTTGCCACAGGTTTCAGGAATTGTTTTGTGGGAGCTTTGCACACTCCAACCTGCAGACAGGTAAGACTGAAGCAAGTGAGGGGTGCAGCCTTTGGGGTGAGGACAATGGGGAAGAGGGGAAGATAGCTGGAGAGCAGTAAGGCAGCAGGGGAGGAAGGCAGTGAGGACACAGAAACCTGTGGCCCGCACAGCCAAAATTGGCAAGTGCAAAGCTTTACACAGATGCCCCAAGTGGAGTCACACTCTCAGCAGGGATACTAGGAGACCACCTGCTTGCTGCAGAGCAACATGGACACAGACCAGCAAAGCAATGACTTCTCTCTCCAGCAAGATGACCAGTGAAAACCTGACGGGAACCAAAAGTAACAGTTTTTCTTAACTCCAAGAGAAAAATTCACAAGGAGTTAAAGTTAACCCACAATAACTCTTTTCCAGGGAAACCAAACTGCTTCCAGGTGATGCTGGTGAGTCCTTTGGTGAAAGTGAATGGGCTTTTAGATCCACTGGAAAGTGAAAGGCAGCATCCCCAAACCCCTTTGAAGAATGAGGCTGCCAAATAAGTTTAACATCTTGTGCCTCTTTTAATGGAAATACCACATTTATGCACATAGACACAGTGAAGTACAAAGGATTAGAAAATAGGCTTGATTTCCAGCCCCTAATTCTAACATACTATACATTAATCCCTGAGAGCACCTGTAAATGGTCAGTCTCTTGCAGGTGGTACTGAAAGTGCAAATTCAAGTGCTCAGCTGTAGCACAGGTTGCTTTTCAGAACCGAATCTGAGCGCTATATCTTCAAAACCCTGGGTTGGCAGTATTAAAAATTAACAGTTAAACCATTCAATCCAGTGTACCAGTTTGAAATCTGTCCTGATACCTTTGCCACAGCCAGCCAAAAGATGTCTTCCTGCTTTCCAAAGAAATGAGTTCAGCTTGTATTCTGGTCACCCCAAAGCCATTACAAAATTGGTGCCAATGAATTGCACAGCACTGCTGGACTTGCAGATTAAAACACTAATCATATTCCCAGGACTAGGCAGGTGTATTGGCAGGTGCATATTCCTCCAGCTCTGACCTAGGAGGCTACCTGGCACTGCAGCCTGGCCAGCACAGAAGTACAAAAAACAGACTGTGTAGAAAAATCCTTGTTTCCCACATCTGTCCTAACCTCTGTCAGACCCCACAGACAGGAAATGGCAGTGCTGATCTGGGCTCTAGTTTTCAATCAACTGAATTTATTTCTCCCATGACATGCACAGTTTCATTACAGATTCAGTGAGACTGTGGCCAGCATTTGTGCTGTGGGATTAAAGGATGGAAAAGTTTTCCCTCTCTTTAATTGAGGGGATAAACTGGTGACAGCAGCAGCAGCTGCTGGAGCTTTGGACTCCAGTACAGCAACAACTTCAGGAGGACACACTTCAGCACATTTCAGTTCAAATGTGTACAAAGCCTGAGCAAAACCTTACCCTGAGCATGTGCTCAATGCTGTTTGCATTGGACCTCTACTTCTATGAGTGTGGTCTTTTTCCAGCAAGAAGCAGGTTTACAGCCCTTACCAGAATTTGCCAGGGCTTGGCTTGCTGTTCAGGCTGACTGGTGGCACAACCAGAGGAACCCTTAATGTGGAGCACAAAAGCCTGCAGCAAACCACGGGAACAGCCACTTGGAGATGCATTTCCATACTAGGGAAGGTTTTCTCCCAGTGTAGAGACAGGGGGCGAGGTACTGCCCTCTTCGGGCACCCAGAGGTGTGGTACCAAAGTTTACAGAGTGACATCTGGCCACGTCAGTGGCTGAGCTGCCTGGTACTGCACCTCTTGACTGGGTATTCACAGCATGTAGCTGCACTTCACAACTGGGAAAGTTGCTTGAACCTCTGAAAGCTGCATAATATTCTTATCCTGGCTATATTCTGTAAAGGCTGACAATAAACTTGGTGAGTTTTTTAAAAAGAAACGTAAATATCAACCTAAAAAAATATCCACTGTGCTTCATCATCTCCCTTATTTCACAGTTAAAAGCAATGACAAAATATTCCCTGAGACTAAAAAGGAAACAACAGATAATGGATAAAGGGAGATCTATTCAGGGAGGCAAATCTTAGGTGATGGTGGCAATCAAAAATTGTCTCATCTTCTATATTTCTTCAAAGAAATCAGTCCCTGCACCTGATTTATACTTGCAGAAGACATGAATACTTTAACTGCACAGATATTTCATATTAAGCCCTTTTTAGGTTCAACAGAGCAAAGAATAGCATTAAGAACTGCATCCATACAGACTGTATAGACGTGTACTTGAAATTTGTTTACTGGAATAGAAATAAAGTGCTTAGTATCTCCAAAACAACTGTAGACCTGGATTTTCACTGCCAACCAATACTGTGGTAAATTCTAAACTTTTAATTTTTACTATAAACCTTTGCAATATGTCTACCTAAGGAAGAAGAGGGAGGAATGTCTAGTTTCAAAAACACAGCTCCTTAATTTGTCCATTACAAAATGAACAAACACAAAATACAATCCTTTCAAGCACGTTTTTCAAGCTGTTTCACAGTCATTCACCAGGAGCTGGTAAAACAGGAATTCGCAAGAGGACTGCACCACTTAGAACGTCCTGTCAACAGCAGACCAGTAAACTAGTAAGTCTTCCAGCTCAAAATACCTTCCTGCTCACCATCAGATTTGCTGTGGCATAGCCCTTGCTGTATTTCTGCTGTATTTCTGCTCCTTGAAGGCCATCACTCAGCTCCATGAGCAGTGGACATGCACAAAGGCATTCAGTGTGTTATCTTGCTAGGATAACAAGACTAGCAGCTCAAGAACCTTCTCAGCAACTACCTTCAAATCAGGTCCTGCTCTGGGCAGGAGACACCGGCCTGGGCTTTTGAGTCTCTGATGCTCTATTCTTCTCCAGTTCCTCTGCCTTCCTCCGCTCCTCTTTTAGCTCCTTGTATCTCCATTTGGGAATCTGCAGATAGGGGTCCTCCTTTGCACTGCTCCTCCTCCTCGCCTTTTCCGGCTGGAAGGTGGGTGGGGGAGCCTTGCTGACACGGACTTTGGGGATGACAAATCCCGGCCGGACGCTGCTCCTCCGGAGCAGGTGGAGCGGCAGGAGGCTTGCCTTCCTCGTGGCCACTGTGGTCACCTGGGACATGGCAATTCTGATGGGCTGCAAGCTGGCTCGACGCTCCTTCTTCTTGGGGACCACTGTGACTTTGGAGTTCTGAAAGAGCTTCTCGTAGCTGCTAACAAGATCTTTGTCCTGAGATCGGATCTCCTCTGCTCTCTGCTTCCTAAGGATTTCCTGCACTGCCAGTCTGCGTTTCCCCACACAAGGTGGGCTGCCTGGGCACACAGTCCGGCACCCCAGAGCAATGAAGGGACTTCCTAAGCTTGTTGTCACCTTCACCATGTGGTCGAGGACCCCATCCTCTTCTGGGCCATAGAAAGACTGGAACGAGACAGCTGCCCTTACGCACTCAGAAATTTTCTGCAAACAGCTTTTTGGCTCTGCAGCCTTGGCAAGAAGTTCCTTCATTTTTGGCCATTCTGGTTTATATTGATCAGAAAACTGTTCTGGGCATGGCCTGTCCATCAGCTTCTGCATGATGAAGGCAGACTCTGATCTTCCTGTGAAACAAGCCCATTCCCATGAAGTCAATCCACGGCTTGGGTCAGTTGCATGAACATTTGCCCCTCAAAAGAAAAAGAGAAACAATTAGTGTTAATTAATTAAAGCATCAGCATTCCTGTTGCTGTGATCAGAGGTGAGTCAGGCAGATCCCTACAAGAAAATATCACATAAAATACACAATAGTATTTGTGTCAAAATGAACATGCAATAAGGATAGATCTGGTTCATGACTTTATGAACCCCTTATTTAATTAAAACAAGGTAAAAGACATTAAGACTGCATATATGAAATTCTCTTAAAATTACAAATAATGAAATAATGAATTTCACCTGCATTTAATCTTGATTGCCATTTTAATATCCATTCACTAGAGCTCACAAGAAAAGAGTTACAGATATGGAAAGAAACAATTCTCTACAAATAAATCCTTCCCCATATAGAACAGTGGACTTTTTACTGGTCACTTCCACTTGGAAGAAAGGTCTTAGCCTAATGCTCACAAGTTCCACGAAAATATCCACTCACTGCTCACTAGGGGTAAAAACAGCAAATAAAATATATTTAAAAAGCATTAAAAATGGAAAAAACCCAGAAAGTTAAAAAAGGGGAAATAGAGAAAACAACAAATGTACAATTAATGCTCTCTTATGTCTGAAAGCACCCCATAGAATTAGGAAATGTTGAGAAGATGGTAACAAGGGTGATAAAATATAAGGAAAGTTTCCATAAATGTCAAAGAGTGGATAATGGGTGAGATGGACCTTCAGTCTGAACCCAGAACAGCTGTTCTCATCTACCTGAGATTACCAGCCCTAAAGATATGAAGTAATTTTTAGACAAAACATTATGTTATTGCTGAGTGGACCAGCCAAAAGAGGCAGCTAGGATACAGGCTACACAGCAGAGGCTTAGACATTTGAAGTGTTTGTCTTGGAAGGAAATTATTTCAATTGACCCATCCTTCTCCCATTCCCAGATTATGAACTTTATCTCTCCAATTTTCATATCTGTCCCCATCACCATTCTTTTTTTATCACATATTTCTGCATCCTTTTCCATCTTTGCATTTTTTTTTGATCTCTCCATCTTCCTATAAGACCCCACACATTTGCTTTTGCCTTAGTTCTTAATCCTTTTGTTTTCAAGTGGAGTTACACTCTTCTCCTCCGGGGCACTTGGGTGCTTGAAAACAGGATACAAGAGCATCACAAGAAGCAGGCATCCTCGTCTGCCCTATGGTATCCTTTACAGCTTCTTTAGTACCATACCCACATTCCTTGGCAACCAGATAATTGCAGGGAAGTCCTCCCATGGTATTAGGGTAGGGCTGTGAGCATTTGTCAATGAGGGTAGCATATGCCAAATCCTGCTCACAGAGAAGAGCTCTGAAAAGGACACAGGAAACTCAATTCAATGTGCACCTGTGGAAGAATTGCTGCAGAACAATGAGCAGCAGCAAGTGGTTCTGGAAGCTGAAGTGAGCAGGACACTGTTGCAAATAGCCAACAGATTAGAGCTGGTGAATGCTAAAGGATACAAAAGACCTGTCCAAAAACTGGCCTGATGGCAGCAATTAAAAAGAATCTCAGAGACATGTCAAAGACTTGACAATTGGCACCATATCCTGTGCTTCACATCCAAGAGATCCTGGGTACACCACCTGGTGCATTCATCTTGATGCATTACAGTATATGGGTATGAAGGTAAATGAATGAAATCAATAGGAGAATGAGGGAATACTCTCTGGTGTCAGTCAGGGTCTTAAACTGAAAATCCTTTGGTTTCTATTCTGCCTTTGAACTTTGACTGATCTCAGAGGGAGCTTTGCATGCTCCAGGCTGCAGACTGTTCCCTGGGACAGGCACGGGCACTTTGCCCAGCTGCCTTCAGCATACTGAGCTCTGCAACATTTAGTCATGATTTACTCATATCTCTCTCCCTGCAGATAGTTTCTGGGTTTCTTGAAAAAGTTTAAAGCTTGGATACAAAGAATATTTTATTTATTGAAGGACTTCTTTACCAGATGAAGGACCATTTTCAAACAGCCAACACAAAACTGACCTACGCAGATCTTGTCACAAAAGTTACAGCCTATGTTTGGAGATGTTTGGAGATCTGAGGAAAGGACCAGACAATACTGATAATGAGACTTATTAGAGAGACTGAGTATAATGATAATTTTTTTCCAGGTGGATTGTCTTGGAGACAGCATTTCAAAGTGGAATAAGGAGGACTTGATATAAGAAAAAGCAACCACAACCCAGTTTGTGATGGATTCAGTATAACCTTTCCCACAAAGGATGTTTTGTCATTACAGGAAGCTGATGGCAAAAAGAGCATGGGGAAAGTGATAAAAACCTCAGCTTTATTAAGTTAGTTCCTAAGTCGCTGAGAAAATCCCTAAAGAGAAGATGCTAGAGACATAGATCAAGAATGGATGTAGAAGGAGACACGCTAAGCAAAATTGCTGATAAGAGTTTAAGTGTAATTTAAGTGAAATTTGCAGAAAGGACACTCAGAGAGAGAACACCAAGGCACTGCAGGGAGTCAAGCATGGGACTGGATTGGGAGGCAGAAAGGAGCCAAAGAGAAGGAAGGAATCAAATCAAAGAATTGACAAGCTGTGGATTTGAAAAAAGGATTGCAAGATCTCAGAGGCAGAATGGTTTGTTGAAGTTAATGACTGCAGAAATTACAGGTAAATCAGTAAGGGGAGAGAAAAGGACATACCAATACATACCTTCTGCTTCACTAACCTGTTTCTGAACCTCCCTACCCAAACTTCCTATCTTTGAATTTCTCTCATCTCAGGCTAGCCTCTTTCCCTGGTCACTTCTTAACACTTGACTGAGCCTGAACGCCTTCCCAAAAGAGCTCACTGTGACTGTGGCAAATTATGTGGAAGTCGTTTCCTTAATGTAAAGGTAACAGGCAAGGAATTAATACAGGAAGAACAGCAGCTAAAGGAATTGTCTTAAAATAAAAAATTTAATTCTCAGCTTGTAAACAAGCAAGAGGTATAGACAGCTGTTTACCATTATCTTCATGAAGGAGTCATTCCAGTTTTGATATAGTGCAGCTGTGAGAATTTGGAGTTCAAAAAGAACAGTGACAGATAGTGCTCACTGGGGACTCCCCACCATTGCTTGGGGGCTGTGCTCAGCTCTGGTCCTTGTCTGGGCTGTGCCTGTCCCCTGCTGGTCTGACCCTGACCCACAGACTTAATTCCTTGTTTTACCTCAGACCTACTTTGTCTCTATGAACTTTCCTTTGTCATCATGGACTTGCCTGGCAATCTGCAGTGCTGCCTGATCCAGGTTATTGTCACCAGCCCTGCCACGTTCCTTGAAGGAGCACCTTTGTTGATGAGACTGGTACTGAGGCCTTACTGTCACCCTTGGATCACCTTCCTTTAAGGAGCAGCCCATTCTTTCTGACAGATGGGTCCACAGGTGTTTTGGAAACTCTATCTCAGGAAACAATACTACAGAGTATTGAAATCCCAACCTACCAACAGAAATGAATGCTGACTTTGTACCTCTGTGAGAACCCCGGGCTTGGTTCGGGGGTCTCATGTGGTGGTAAAGTCTCTCCTCCAACCCATGCTTCCAAAGAAAAACTCCACAGCCTCTTGTTGTTCGGTCTCAAGGCAGTTTATTGCGAGTTATCTAAAAGATTGTCATCTCAGACTGCGGCTGTTTGGTCAGCAGCTCAGGCAGAGACACACACACACCCTGACATCCTCTCTGTCTGCTGTCTTCTTATTCTCTCTCCCTGCCCAGGGCTGCTGCTATCTTTTATATGATATATTACATGGTCCGTGTTTACAGTTTTCCCCCAATACCTACTACCTATGTTACAAGGTGCTTTTCTACTCTAAACCAATCCATAAGTGCCAGCATCACCAAGAACATGGAGGCAAGGAAGAAGAAGGAGGAAGAACAGGATCAGCCCACTTTCCTCCATCTTAGAACTTCTGACCCCCATGTACAGAGTAAAAACCCCCCTGTACAGGTGCTAAAACCCCCCTGTACAATACTAAAAAAAATTCCCCTCTGTTTTGTAACTACTTCTACTATACTATCTAACCCTTTGTGACTGCTTGTTCCACCTCCAAAGTTGGTAACTCATTCCATGGCTCAAACTCAAAATCACAGCTGTTTCCAGCTGCCTGCCAGGGTCTAAAATGCTTCTGACCAAGGCCTGGAACCTCTAAAAATGTCTGAGAGACATTTTGAGTTCCAACATACCTCATATCACAAAATCTCTTCTAAGGCATTATTTACCATAGTTTTATTGATTTTCCACACAAAATTCCTGAACAAACTTGTCATTCAGCAGAATGCTTTACCTGGAATATACATGAGTAGTCATGTCCCTTTGTAAATGTGATAGCAGTCTTATTGAACTAACTGTAATTATAGTGTAACTATAGCCTACAAGTTTTCTTTCAGGAATGCTGCACTTGCCACTAACCTTGTTTTTCCTAGAAGTTTCCCTGAAGATCATTTTCAGCACAATTAATTTGAACACACATGCTCCTTTAGGATATAAATATCCTATTTTATTAAGACTTCATGTCCTTTTGTGTTGCTATCATGCTTGCATGGTAGTGTGGAGGAAGGGTTTTAGAAAGGCCTTGGGAATGGGAAACTGAGGAAAAGATACATTTCTGTATGCCCCATTGTTTCGGGAAAGTTTCGCTTCAGCATTTCTCTGAAAACCCCCTTCTCCCCACCCCTGAGCAGTTCCCATTGGACCTGACCCCTGGGGTGGTTCTGATGTGCCCAAGCTGAACACTGTCTCTATTGTTTAGACCTTATCTCTTAATTTTGCTGTATAAAACTGTATCTGGGCAATAGCCCAGGGCCTTTGGTCACTGCAACGCTTCAGGCAATACAATCTATCTGGACAAGCATACCATTGGTCTCTCTTGGTCTCTTTATCTCGAATCCTAGCGGCGACTGAGGCAGCGCCGCAGCTCGGACCGTGCTAACCCAGCCGCTGCCTGGTAAGCCCAGGGCAGCGGGACCACGGAAAACCCCGGCCCCGGAGGGGACAGCTAGCCGGAGGGTCCCGGGGGGCCGGGGGACAGCAGCAAGTGACCCCCAAAAGCCGCACTTTTGAGATGCAGAACTAGCATCATGAGTTTAAAGACAGGGGCTGAGGAGGCTCAGGCATCTGCCACCAGCTTGTTTTATGGGTAGTGTTTAAAGCTCAGTCTCCAGATCCGGGGCCACTCCAACAGCGCTACTAAAGCAGCACTGAGTTTAGACTGGAGATTACAGGAGGGCTTGACATACCAGCATTTCTGGCTGTCTCTCCTGCTGAATGCTGGCAGTGCCGCGGTGCTGGCAGCACTGCAGCCTGTGACAAAGTGCCGCTGGGAGACCGGCCCCCTCACCCGCTGTGCGCTCGCAAACAGCAATTGCACGTGTTCCAAGAGTCCCTCTGAAAGAGCAACAGTATGGCCAAGTGTCTCAGAGTGCCTTAATCTTGTAGTGATTGACCTTGGCCCTCCTCCACAAACTCATGTTTCAGAAAGAGCAGTCACTTTGGCAATCCAGCTCCAACCATCTGTCACACATTGCTGTTACCTCTTTCCCCATCTGACTGTGCTGAATCCATGCTAAGGCAGCTAGGAAGGTGAGTTATTTTGCTTTGCTGACCTCCTGTGTTGCCATAAGTAGCTGGCCATCAGCAGAGGTCTTACCCAAGCCACTGAACAAATACCAGGTTTAAAAACCTCCTGACTAACTCCTTTCTAAACACACATAACTGCTTTGTAGCTGTGCAAGTAGACCCACAGCTTATTATGGGTGTTCCCCTCTATGTTGTCATGCATTTTTATGTTTTAATATGAAATTTTGCTGTGTTATTTGTTAAATTAATTTTTCACCAAATCTTTCAATAACTTATTTTATCTTCTGCAGCTCACTAGTACTTAAATTGTCAGCACCCACTCAGTGTCCCTTAAATCCCAAACTACTTCTAAACCCATTCTGAATGAGAATTTCCCTCCTTCCTTCCCTCCATTTCACCAGATTGCGCAGTGCTAAAAAATACTCAGATATTAAAATAGGTGCAGGTAATTTACTGCACTTTCTTTGTGGCCCATATTTTGAGCTGAAAATGTGAGGAACTGCAAGTACTCACTGAAACTGCAATTTAGAAAATCAAAAGCATATTAACTCATCAGATCTTTAGCTGGTGGACAATCTTTGGTATCCTCATTATCTCTGATGCAAAAATAGGCTGATAAAGCTTTCTGTAGGCAAACTTAAGATGGAGGCTAAAGAAAGCCATTTTCTGGCTGTCTAAAGGTTTGTTCTCCCCAATAGCCTGTTTTCTTATGAATCATGGAAACAAGAAATGGCTATTCAGATGCCAGAGGCAGCCACCACAGAAGTGGACTTTGATAATATTTTAGTATAAGAATCAGAATATCAAGCATTGAGTTATTTACATAGCTGAAAGGTTGTGAAACAGCTTCTAGTGACCCAAAGAGAAAGAACAAGCTTCCCTCGGATCTCTAGTGATAATAATAGATCATGACATCATAAGGTAAATTTGACAGGTAAGAAAATCATAGGATTGAAATTTAATTTTAAATTATGATTTATAACACTGACTGGAAAATTGTGAACTAGCATCTGTGTGAAGTATGTGTGAGTCTAGAAAGTGCATCTGTTTCTAGTGGTGTTCAAGCTCTGACAGTAGTTTCATAGTTTTATTGTCATAAAAATTTAAAATTAATGATCTGACTTCTAAGCCTTTGTTCCAGAATAAGAGTCTACAGAACCTAGCATAAAATAAAACACCAGTTACCACATAATGTTTTCTGTGTCATATCAATGTCTAGAAACTGGATATTATGAAATGAAGGATAGAAATATCACTATTCTTGATAAAATCGTGTGACTTTAACAGAAAAACAAGAATATATATTCATATAAGCTAGTTATTTTATTATTATCCAACAGTTTATATACCGATTATCTCATATAAAAAACCCCATACAATATTGTGGCTGAAAGATGCTTTGTGTTAGGACTGTTCTTGTACAGGCTGTTGCCCCTCAGGGGGCTTTCTGAATCTCCTCTCCAGGACCCCTTCACCTTGCAATGCAACACAGTCAGAAATTCAACAGCAGACAAGAGCCAAGAGTAAGAAACAAAATTCCTGTTCTCAGATGTGAAGAAAGACAGGTGGGCAGACAGAGAGCTGCTCTCCTTGTGCCACAGCTCCCTCCTTGCAGCTGACACAGACCTGGTGGTGCCCAGTTGCTCATAAACCTGGAGACCAAACTCAGAGCTGTAGAGTCATTAACAAAAAAATAAGTCACCAAATTTCCCACCAATGTTCCCAAGTGGGATGTGGTCCCTACACCAAACACTCCTGACAGGGACTGGAGCAGCCAAAGCTTTCCAGTGCCCAGCACAGTTCAAGGCAGAAATGGAGGTCTGGCTGTGGTCCCACCCTTGCACTGTCTGCCACACAGAGAGATGGCAGCAAGCGAATGGCATGTCTTTCCCACCTGTGTCATGGATTTCATTAACTCCTGTTCTACAAATTTTGATGATCCTGCTCCCCAGACTCTCCTGGAGACAAACAATCTCACTCTCAGAGCTCTAGGAGAGCTCCTGGGTGAGGTTGTACAGGCAAACTCCTGCAGCACATGCCTTCACTGCCTTGACTATGGCTTCTTTAAAAGCTGCACCTATTTTCAGGGAAGGCTTTACCACAGTTCTCAGAGCAAACATCCTAAGAGTCAATTTTATTCTTGGTAGTTGTTAGATAGTGACAAAGAAAAAGAAAAGCACTTTGCATTACCTGCCATCATCAAGGCTTTCACACATTCTGTTCGCCCCTGCATTGCAGATTTCATCAGGGCAGTGAATCCAAACGCATTCCTCTTCTCAATATCAAGCCCAGGAAAATAGTTCAACAAATAGTTTGTAATGGTTATGTGCCCTTTAAAGAAGCAAAAAAGCAGAGAAAATGTCATACAATGCAGGTGCTGTCTCAAGGATAAACCAAAAATTTACTTCTGCAGGTCTGATAAGTGGAAAATGCTGATAATTAATAAGACATCTTTTCTTTGTGTCCTCTTCCACTCAATGCAGTCATCAGCCTTAGGGTTAAGTGGCCCTGACTTTTGACCAGAATATTCAGATAGGAGGTGGAAAATCTGAGTTCCCACCTTTTCTCAAATTTTTGTCCTTTCTGAAAAGTCAGTTTAAGGTAAGGGAATAACTGAAGACCAGAAATGGTCACTCTGAGGTTGCAAGGGGCCCCAGTTTCTTGACCCAGTGAGTAGCACTGCAAAAGGAATTCCTACAGCTTATGGAAGAAAGGCACATCACCAGGGGCAACTGATTGCAAGGGTTCATAATTTTCCCTCCACTGGTAAATTTGAGCCTTACAATCATGGTGCTTCATTAAAAAGTAATGACTGTGCATAGTTGTTCCAGCCAATAATGCTTTCAAACCATGCCAGGACTGACACAAGAGAATAAAATATTTTGTGTAGGATCCCACATTTTTATTTTTCCCTCTGACAGTGTAAAGCTACTTGTCTACTCTCCTTCAGTTGGAAAATGGGATTGATGTTCAATTTTGATAGTAAAATAGATTATTTAAGTTCTATTTCTAAAAGCAACTGTTGTTGCCATTCATGTGCCTTGTATGCCAGGATAACTAGTGTCTACAAGGCTATGGTGAGGAGCTGAGCACATCTCTGGCTAAATGGTTAGAAGACCAATTAAGACACCAAATCTTTGTAATTGGACTATCAGATGGATAGCTAGGGCCATTATGACTCATTCAAAATAGTTTTCCTTTCACTTGTCAATCATTTTATGATGCTTTGATGCTCTATAAAATAATGCCGTCTGTCAGGCAGCTGCAACAATAACAATTTAATTAGTAAGAGCCGTAAAAATATTCCCTCATTTCACTCTGCAGACCAGATGACTATTCTGTGATGCATGCCATTCAAATTCATCTAGAAATGTTACTGAAGTAGATTATAATTCATACAGGACAATTTTTAAAGTCTGTAGCATCACATCTGGTGTAGATTTCATCAGCAGCCACTTTGTACCAGCACAGTCCTTCATTCACTTTGAAAAGCAAGTTAAGAAAGTCTTTACCAATTAATCTGTGTTGCAGGTGTTACTCTTTCTCTCCTGTAATTTTTTTTGACTCTGTTACCTTTCTGCATAACTGGAGACTCTCATGAAACCTGAGCTGATGTAGAGATTATGCAGATCAGATGAGCAACTCCAGAGCCAGAGAAAACCAAATAAAAAGCTCCCTGTACCTTGTGCAGTCTGATGAGAATGAACTACAAAGACTCAGCAAACCACAACAAGCTGAACTAAGCAAAAGTGAACTGGGTTCAGGGCAGGATCAAGTGACCTGATCCTGCTTACTCAATACAGAGATTTCAGCTTTGCTGATTCTATGTCATAAAATCAAATCCTATCAAGGAATCAGTTGCTACTAGGAGAATATTTGTGCCCAAATTGTTTTGCAGAACATGCTCTGATGCAGTGATGTAGAAAATCTGTCTTCATGAAGGTTTTGGAACAGTTTAAATCCTGCTTTTTGACCACAGAAACCAGAGACAAGCTGAAACAAGTAGAAATGATAAAATATAATATTTTTCAGCAGTTATTTCATCACTAAAGATGTTCTTCCCTTTGCCAAAAGTATAATTACAGTAAGATATGTTTTGCAAATCTGGGATGATCCTAAGAATTAATCCTGAAGACCTTTCTTAATCAAAACTCCGGGGGACTAGAAATGGCCCCAAAAGTGACAGAAAAAAAAATACCAGCAGTAAATTAAAAAAGAAAATTAAGAAGTTTGTGATTCACAAAAGTTTTGTGTCTCAGGGATTCCCAAAAACCAGTTTTAATCTAGAGGATCTTCTGTCCTCTGAGGTTTGCTTCAGATTTCCAGTTCAAACAGATATCAAATTCAAAGCAAAACTCAGAGCTGCCAAGTTTTATTTCAAACCCTGTCATATGCTTTTGATTTAATGCCATGAAGTTTGCTTTGGTTCTCCTGTGTCTGTGTGAATAAGCAGTCTGTACCTAATTTATAAACTGGATGAGCCTCCGGTGCTGTAAAATCTACTATGAAAACCCTGTGCAGCTCTAAAATAAACGAGCCTGGGCTCAGGCCATTTGGTGATACTGAATTCAAAGCAGTGTCTTGCTGTTTGCAAGCCAGATCTACTTCCTACCAGAACTGGCATGCTAAGGGCTCACTTCTCCCTGCGAACCCTATTTAGAGATCAGCACAGATGTCTGTAATAGCTTAATTCACTTAATTGCTGCCATAAAGAAAAGGCCTAAAATGATGACAATATTACCTAATAATCTGTGTAATACAGGCAGAAGGATAAGCTGCACAGTAAGGAAGACCCTTTGCCAAATAACATCTCACTCCTGAATTGTACCTGCAAAACACTCGAGTTTGGCCTGCAGGTAGCAAATGCTTTCCCACAGATGGATGGAACCAAAGACACCCAGAAGGCTTGATCCTCTGGGTATTTTAGGTGTTTGCATTCTCATGTCTTTCTTAATAAACAGAAACTGGGATAACTTCCAATTTGTGTTCTCAGCAAGGCTCCCAAACTGGTGGCTGTAACATAAAACATCTATACTTTGTAAGCAAATACAACTCCCTCTGAACACCAGTGCATGCCAATTACTATACACTGATGTAGCTATGCCCCCATCAGCAGCAGAACTGAGGGGAAAAAAAGTAATTCTCCTTCTTTTCCTTTTCCACCTGTTATTTCAATCGCGTGTCTGTATCAATCTCCCCTTTTTTTTTCTGCATTGTCCTTGTAATGATATTTAATGATTTTGCTTCTGCTGCAATAGCATTGCCACCCATTTCTGGGCACCACCTGCTGCAGACTGCATGCATTAACAGTTCTGGAAGGCAAGTTCTCTTTGAAAAGGGATATAAGAAATAGGAAATATTGAGAAAGCAGGTGGACAGACCAATTTTCAAATGTGACATTTACATACAAAGCAGAGCATTTTGTGGTTATTTTTCTATATTAATAAGCTTTTTAAAACAGAACTGCTTTTCACTGATCCTTCCAGCCTGTCTTTCTCTGGTCAGCCCATGCAGAAAACTTCATCCTTAGATACTTTTGTTGGAGGATGAGAATCTCAAATTGTCAAAAGCAATATGAGGAACTGAATTCACTCATCTTCTGAGACTCTAGTTGCTCTTTAATTTAATCCTATTTATTTCAAGCTGATGCTCATATTTGAGCATCATGTCTGGAAGTCATGAAATGGCATAGGCAAGTGTGAATATTAAACTCTTCAGCACAAGTAAAGAGACCTCTCTGTCATCTCTTTTGTTATCTATACCTCATAATGCAGATGCAGACTCTAAAACACAAGGAACAGCTCCTCAGAACCACACTTTTTTTGCCCATTCAGCTCGTCTTTGGGGTCTGGCCATACATGATGGCCCACCTGGCAATGGATCATAAGAAAAATAGCAGCACTTTCTGAAACCTTCAAACACCATCTCACAGATACATGAAATAAGGTGGATTTGCTATTAGACTTTCAACAGGAAAACCCATAGTTTTGGTATAAATAACAGTGATCTCAGAATAATTTACTTTGCAAAAATGTGATTACTTTCACAGCCTAAAGTTAACTCCTCCCCCAACATATAAATTCTCCACTAAACGCAAGCTTGCATAAGCTTTTCTTTCAGGTCTTTATAATGCACTGCTCAGTGTTACTACCTAACATTCAGCAATAATTAATCTGCATCTATTGCATTGTAACTCCTGTGGTTGCAATTTAGCCTCACAGTAATCTCTATTAATGCTACAGCAGTATCCTGTGATAATTAATTAAATACCTGGTGTAAACCCTGTTGCTCAGGATTAGCATAGGCAGGGGAAAACATCCAATTTGGTGGGAGTTTGTATAAGTTTCTGTTGACTACAGTAATTTCTAGTTGCTTTTGGGATCAATAGCAAGTACTGGCAGAGAGTGTCAAGTCCATGTCAGCCCACTGGGTTAATTCTGAGCTCATTATCATGAGTTATAAAGGTCAAGATGGAGGCAGTGTTAAACCTTTTTTAGTTCAAATTTATATTAGGGCAGATAAATAAAAGTAGATTAGTGTTTTTGGGACTTTTCCACCTTCTTTGGAAAGCTGTACTCATGACTTTGGTATGAATGTGGTCACAGTTCTTTCTTCCAGTATTTAAGACTCATCTTGCAGGAACTTTCACAGGGTTCACTTTTTGGTACAACACAAAGCAAAGTTAGGTACTACCTGGAAATGTCCAGTGGCACTATTACTAAATTAACATGGAAACCAAACTGCTCCAATCTTCAGACATGCCTTGTAATTCCCATTGATATTCCCTGATGGAAATTTGTTCCCTTCAGGAAGCCAGTGTCCAGGAGTGAGGACTATGTCCCACGAGCTCCCACAAACATCCCAGACTCTTCACCAGGCAGCAGACATGATAAAGGCCAGCTATGCAGTCCCTTGTAAAGCGATCACCTTTGCAGAGTGCACTTGAAGGATGCCAAGGAAACCAGAGATGCAGAGCTAGGCAGCCCCTGGCTTTTAGACTACAAAGTGATGGCATCCTTCCTTGGAGAAATTTTTCCTGATTTACATGCTTTAGGACTTTGTTAACACTCATTAGAGGAAACTAAACCTTCCCTTAAAGATTGAAGAACAGACCTTCAACTTAAACAGAAATAATTAAATTATTGTTTTCTAACAGAACAATGGAAGCAAGGAACTCTCCCGGGTGCTTCTCTTACATCTAAGTGATCTGTTAGAGCCATTCACTGAATATTACCATGCTGGGTGGGATAAAAGAAAACCTTGTGCTAAACTCCAATCTGCATCAGGATTAACATGATCAATGTTGATATCAGCTGTTACAAAAGATCATTGGCAAATCCTAAATCCTGCTGAGGTTTTTTGCTTTTCAGATGTGGAGTCGATGAAGAATGTCTTAGCAGATAAGGTATAGCTTAATGATGATACGTTTTCCTACAGTCATCAATTCCTACAGACCCTCTAAGGTAGGTGCAGCAAGCATGGGAGAAAAGCACTAATGCAGCACATTACATGTCCACACTGTTCAATTGTTGCTTGCCAGAGCAAACACTGGAAAATCAGCTTAAAGGAGCAAAGCACTATAATATGGATAAATACTACTGCAGATTAATTAGTTCAAAGAAAATAATGACAAACCTATTTGGGAGTGGGCCTGGCCAGAATTATTTTACACTGAATAATTTCTTTCAGGGATTTGAAAAAAATCCTAAAATAAAGTAGCCTAAACACGCACTCCTCCCAAGACCCTGCATATAAGAGGTGACACAGAGAGCCTTACCTGCCTGTGCAGCTGTAATTAGAGCAGTGTTCCCCTCGTTGTCCTGCCAGTTCACATCAAGGTGAGGGCATTGTGCTAAGGCTATTACAATATCCACATAACCTTGGTAACAGGCAATGATAAGACCGTTCTGTAAGTAAAATATAAAGAGAGACTTAGGTTTGCCAGACTGAGAAATGTTCACTGAAGAAGTTTACGAGACAGCTGTTTAATTTTATTTTTTTTCCAGACTCAAGAACTAAAAAGGTACCAGCACAACTAGTGATCACCTCCAGGCATAATGTTCAGATCCATACACTTCTTTTTATCTATGCCCTTTGGCAAGTCAAGTTTGATACTCCTCATAAATACCTAAGAGACTAAGTATTACATTATGCTACATGCAAAGTAACTGTTTATAAATGGCTTATGCTTATATGGCTATATAGTTTATACCCAAATGAGAATAAATCTGATTTTATTAGATAATAAAATGAACCCAGCAGGTAAGATGAACTGGACCTGCTCTGAATATTAATTCTCTGAAAAACAGCTATTTGTTCCATGAAGGGAAGTGGTAGGCAGGAGTTGTGCTCATACTGCCTGTTGCTATCTTTAAATAATTCAAATTTCCCATTAGAACTATGCCTCCTTTTTTTATAATCATAAATAAAATTAAATTGCTTTTAGAGGTCCAGTTTAATGTGTTTTATGACAGCTGGAGGCTGTAAAATTTCCAGGAGGAAGCCAAGCCAGGACGTAAACCTTGTAACTACACTTGGTAGCCAGATAGTGTTTCACTCCACAGCAGCAAACTGACAGCTTCCCTAAAATACAGAAAAATACACTTGTCATTAATTACATGGAACCACAGTGCTTAATCCTGGCTGCTCTCTTGACCACTAGGATTAAAGCCATTATCTCCAGTCTTCAGGATTGCTTGGGCAGCCCTCGTTCATCTGCCTGGGGCTGATGGGCGTAGGGAGGGCAGGTGCAGATAAATCAGCGCTGCCTGCACTCCCTCCTCGCTGCCAGCGTGCCACTCAGCCTGAGCCCAGCCTGAGCATCTGACTGCCCAAGAGGTGAGGGCAGAGACACAAATCTCAAACCTCCTGCTTACGCTGCCTGCCTGAAATGTACTCACACGAAAGACTTGCAAGGAGAACCTGGTTATGGAAACAGAATGGCCCACCATAGCTCCTCCATAATTTTTTTCTTGCCTACACATTCTCTTTATTTCTTTTCCCCATGGACATTACTAAGACAGAGATGTTCACCAGGTGACAACTGTAGCTTCTGATTTATTGTCATCTTAACTAGTTACTTATTTAGTGTCCTGTTTCACTGTCATTCTGGATAGTTCTCTTGGCTGAGGTGGCAAAGACCTTTATTGAGATACAGGAGTGATATCTACTCTTCAGGCTGTTCACAGACTATGTAGGTTATTTCTCAATTACATCTCTCAATAAAATCATTACCATGCTTTCATTTGTTCTCAATTCACTCTTGCCCTCAGCATGAAGCAACACCTACCATTGCTTCATAAAGGGCATCTTCATTTCCTTCTGAAGTACCTGTAATACTTCAAAGCCTTCTATTGAAATTGTACGGAGGATTCTGCCAAAAGTAATTTATTTTCAGTTTTTGGGGTTTTTTTACTAAACGTATGTACTTTCCTGGTGGGATTGTACAGATAAATCCAAGTTTTACTGTAATGTAATAGTTTTTGGCTTTTAAGAAAAATCAGTCAATGTCCATTTTGTAAGGGCTTGAACATTATTTCAGTTCCTTAATAATTTAATTTTTCACCCAGGATGATCAGGATATAGGTCTTTCCAATTCCAAAAGCTGTGTAGATTCAAAACAGCACACAGTCATTCCATAAAATGTCCATTACTTACAATAGCAGAAAATTAAGTTCAAAATTGTTTGGAGACCAAAAGCTTTGGACAATAAGAGAGATTCTATTCTTCACTGAAAAGAATGGCATTTTTGAAGATAGTTTCAAAAAGGGTGTAAGAATAACTAAAAGTAGCTATTATCTCTAATGAAAAAAAAACCTTCTTCACCCAATATCTGGAGTATATTTTCACAGAACATTTTTGTGTTCTAAAAATAGTTACCAGATGCTTAAAATGTTTTGGTTTTTTTGTTCTGTTTGTAAAAGTATAAAGCAAATATTGTAAAAATATAGTAAAATATTGTAAAAAAATAATAACAAACATTTGTGGGTTTTTTGGTTCCTTGGGGTTTTTTTGCAAGAGCTTTTTGCATTACAGTATTGGAGGGATTTTGTCCTACTTTTAGTGGACAGATAGGAACTAATGCATCTAACACTGACATTCTGATTTCAGCAGATAGAAGACACAAATTATCTTTAAATCAATAAAATTCACCATTCTGTGTTTGAAAACCAGAAGGATTACTTAGGTGTCAACATTTTCTGAAGTTTATTTTCCAAAGATGCTATCAAAGACTGCTTGCTTAAGGATAAAGAAAGAAAGAGAGAGCAGGAGCTTTCTGAGGGATTACATGATGCAGTAGCACAGAAAATCATCCTTGAAGAACAGTTTTACAAATCTGAAGTGGGCCAGATAAGAGTGTGAGAACCCAATATTCAGCAGAGTGTACACCCAGCAGTCCCTGGTTGAGAAACAAAACAGGCTATGGGATGAGAAAATAAAAACAAATCCTTTCTGTAAAGCTGATGTGGCTTTTTTCACCCTTTTTGCAGTTCTACAGGAGGTGGGTGAGACAGACTGCTTGCTGCTTGCTGAGAGACTGCTTTCCTTTGCATAACCCTTCCAAAGGTGTCAGATACTGAAATGGGCTGCAGGAGGCTGCAGCTTTAAGATGAAAGTTGCAATAAACTTCTGGATTTGATGGTTATTTCCCAAATCCTTGTGCAATAATACAATGATATTTTTTGTTATCAGATTGCTTTTTATTTTTCCGATTTTTTTCCCTTTGCATCCATTTCCAACCCTGTCTATATTATCATTGCTGAAAGCTAGTACAAACAGACCAATCAGCATGTGAAATCAGTCACTATCAAAGTGACTTATTAGTCTACAATCTTTAAATTCATATGCCAATAAATACTTCCATATATTAAAAACTCCTTCAACAGTCTCAATTAATAAGTGTTATAAAATTGCCTCCAGCAAATTGCGTTTTGAAGTGATCAGTAAAGCAGTAGCCTGTATCACAGCAGTGTGCAGGAAAATACAGCTGTGCACTTAATGTCTTTTCAAAATCTAAAATAAATGAGTTTTAGTTAGAAAATATTGAACCTGAACAATCTGGTCACCCTGAGAAGAGAGATGGCATTAATACGCTACCAAAGGCATCCATTATTCTGCTCCTCATATGAAAGGCCACAGTGCAATTATGAAATGGTCAGTGTACATGGAAAAAAAGTATTTTTAAAAATTTAATCTTACCAGTATTTTTGTCAGTAAGATCAATTCTCAGAAGTACTCACTACTTGTGTGTCGCTGCTGAGGCAGGACGGGAATGAGAAGATTCTGACCAGAAAGCTGCTGAGAGTAAAACTCCAGTTTATTCAAAATACACCGCTCTTTTATACAGAGCTCCGCAAGGACCAAATCCATTGGTTCTGAAGTGAAAACAACCCACCACCATTGGTGCAGAGTGCTTGACACACAGTGATAGAACTTAACTATAAACAATGTGAAAAACAAGAGAGATAAAGAATTATTTACATTCTTTCCCAGCTCTTTCCCAGGCTTTTGCCTGGCTAGAAACTTTCAGTTTATCACTTTGACTGAATCTGAGACCCACATTTCCTCCTTTTTTTTAAAGAAGGAGGCAGTGTTTGTCAGAGCACCTTGCAAAGAAGAGGACAAACACGACTCCGAGGTTCACTAGTTGATAATTCAAAACCTCATTGAATGTTGGCTCAGATTGGTCAAAGTGCTTCCAAATTTATAATTTTCAAGGAATCAGTTACCAACTCTAAGCTGTCTAAGTCATTGTCAGACTGTCAAAAGACTGGCAGTCCAACTTGTCAAAACCCATTTCCCAGTGTGAGTATGACCTGACAGAAAAGAAGGTATTTACAACACATGCACATACCCAAATCAGCCAAATTTGAATTTGGCAAGATGAGTAACATCTCTTTGCCAGAGCTGCAAAGCCTTTAGGCCTCTGGGATTTGTCCCAGCCAGTAAGGTGCAGCAGGTTTGCCTCGATTGGCATTCATCAGAATTGCTTTTGCAAGGTGTGTGCACTTAATAGAAGAATCATGCAAGGCTTTGCCTGTGCAATCATGTCCTCAATGGACAGCTTGAGTGATAAAATTGAATTCAGATCCAAATTACATCCTCAAGGCTTTCAAAACAATTGAGTGAAATTGACCCAATTCAGAAAGGACCAAATTCACAACACTTGAGAAACCTCTGAAATGCCATGAAATCTCTGAAATACCATGGCCACAGCCCTTAATTCAATCACTTGGGCTGAGGTTGATTGGTGGCTTCCCAATACTTTGAGTTGTTAGTGAAAACACAGCTCTTTCTGCATTTTATTGTTTTTTGAAGAGCCAGCGGCAGACTTTATGACCCAGCAATGCTAGCTAAGCAAGGCAAGGCGGAGGACCTGGCCCCGTGGGCAGGGCCACATGTTGCAAACCCAGCCATGGGCAGCCAAGGGTCTCTGCTGAGGCAAGAGCCACCCGGCTCGGCCCCCAGCTTCTCTTTGGTATCTTCTGGGGCCCCTTAATCTGGGGTCCCTGGGACACTTCAAGACCACTGATAAATGAGCGACCTCCCCCAAACTCATACATCAGTGCATGTTCCCAACAGGCTGCAAGAAATACAGCAATTCCTCCGAGATTCCGCCCTTCCCCCACCCCGCCTAGCAATGAGTTCTCCCACAGTTCTCGGCATCTCGCTCCGCGAACCACAAGAGCAGGACCCGAAGGGTGCGAGAAGGGGCTGTTTCCCCGGGAATATAAAATTCCACCCGGGCTCCGGGGCTCCCTGCACCACCCACGCCCACCCAGTACAAGGGGCTGCTCCCCTGTCCCTGCACAGTTCCCTGATCCGCGACCTCACCCCCCTCATTCCCAGCTTCAGGACCATCAGCAGTAGCACTGCTGCTGGCCAAGCCGGTGCCCCCTCCCGCCGGCTCTCCCTCGGAGGGGCAGAGCTCGGCACAGTCTGGAGGGGATGAAGGGCTGGATTCATTGTCCAACACGGGGCTCTCGGTCGCCAGATCGCAGGGCGGAGCCGCTGCTGATGAGCCGGCTTCAGGGGGTGCGGCAGCGGGAGCCGCTGCGCCCTGTGGGCGCCCCTCCCCCGCCATGAGCGGGGCGGGCGGTGCGGCCGCGTCTCCCGGCGGGGCCGGGGCCGGGGCCGGGGGCGGCACTTCTGCCGATTCCGAGCTCGACGGCGGCGGCGGCGCTCTTGGCGCTCGCAGCTGCAACGCAGCAGGCAGCACAGGCACCGGAGCCGTAGTGGGCAGCACTGCGGCTGCGGCGGCTTCTCCCAGGAATGACACCGGTAGTCCTGGGGTGGGTGGAGGCGAGGCTGCTGCTGCCGCCGGAGCAGTGGTGGGCGTGACAGTGAAAGGTACTGTCGGCAGGGGTGGCGCCATGTCAGGCATGGCGTGGAAGGCAGGCTCCACCCCCAGCACGGGAGTTTGTCCCACAGTGGGCAGGGCAGAGAACAACATGGGTGTCCTGCCCGAGCTGTGCTGTTGGACGACAGATACCGGCACTGTAAATGAAATCAAAGCAGCCGGTCCGCATGGCGTGCAGAGGGGCGGACCGGGAGGCAAAGCCTGTTTTGCCAGCACAGTCGAAAACCCCGCGGGTGGCGGTGGGTGTGCCAGGGGATGGACCAAAGGCTGCATCGCCGTCTGCGCAGGCTCCATCAGCGAAGAAGTCATGGGGGTGGCATCCACCCCCACTGCACCTGGCGCCGAGGGCAGTTCCAGCCCCCCAGGATGCAGTTTGGAAAGTGGGGGGCTACGGGGACGCGGGAGGTGGCGGCTCCTGCCAGTCCGGGGCCGCCCCATGCAGTCCATGCAACGCCGGGTGTGCTGATAGCTGTGGCAAAGGCACCCCAGCTGCCTCGGGAGGGGCGGGCAATGTCAGCGGCACTGTGCTCTGGGCAGGGTGTGCCCGCGCAGCCAGCCGCCGTGCAGGCTCTGGTGCGGTCCGCGTCAGGGATCCCAAAATACTCAGTCGGAACCGCTGCCTGTGTCCAAGGCTGTGTCGATGCCCACCCAGATTGCAGCCAGGTCCCTTCAGGGCAGGGTGCAGTGCCACGTCAGGCTACACCAGACCCTGTTCCTCAGGGTAAGGTGTAATTCCACATCGGCGGTAATCAGATGTCGCTGCTGAGGCAGGACGGGAATGAGAAGATTCTGACCAGAAGGCTGCTGGGAGTAAAACTCCAGTTTATTCAAAATACACCGCACTTTTATACAGAGCTCCGCAAGGACCAAATCCGTTGGTTCTGAAGTGAAAACAACCCACCACCATTGGTGCAGAGTGCTTGACGCACAGTGATAGAACTTAACAATGTGAACAACAAGAGAGATAAAGAATTATTTACATTCTTTCCCAACTCTTTCCCAGGCTTTTGCCTGGCTAGAAACATTCCGTTTCTTTCTTTGACTGAATCTGAGACCCACACTTGTGAGGGCTTCAGGAGAAAGGAAGATTGATAATTCTTCAAGGTATATCCTCTTCCTAAAAGGACTTTCCACCTGAAACAGCATCCTTTCCCCGCTCTTCCCTTCTGCATGTCCTCAGACACAAATTATTTTAAATTAGAATAAAACTCAAACTATTCCTATTAATATATAGTAATAAACATCAATGATTAATGCAACTGTACATTTGTCACAGCATGCAAGCACAGTATCCTGCTTTTCAAGGATACTCTGTTATCTGACTTACTCTCTCCCAATCAGTGGCCAGGGTTGCTGCCCATCATTCTGCCAGACCAGTGAAACAGATCCTCTGTGCATAAGAGACTTAAAATATGAAACAAAGTTTGCAACTGATCATATTTAATTTTTCAAATACTGCATACAGGCTCTGTGTGACAAGCAAGAAAGCATGAGGCATCCATCACACCAACTACATTAATATTTACGGTCGTTTTTCCACAGAAGGGGACATTGAAAGTCAGCTCAGTAATGGTTTTGGTTTTTTTTCTCAAGTAGAACCCACAATACTTCCAGGTATTGGGGGCTCTATCTTTTCTCTGGGGAATATTTGACATTACACAGAGCTTTCCTACAGTTTTTCTGTAGTTTATGATACATCTGGTTTTTTTGTGCAAGCCGCACAGTTTTGAGAGATCCCCCTTTGTTTTGACGTGACAGCAAAATTAACAGTATTTAGAATATATGAAAAAACAGTGTCAGATAAAATACTTGTTTCCCATGTATTCTAAATGAAGTATAACTACTTTTCTTATTTTCTTCTCACAGTGCACAAATTAACATAACGGACATGGGACTACCTGAAGTAAATCAGATGTTGCAACACCTTCCTCAAGCATTGAATCTTCTGATTTTGTTTAAAATGATAATTCTTCATGTGTCTTTGATAGCCAGACTGGAATAGTGCTGCCACTATGAAAATAAATTCTGTTTTGCTCAGCTGTGTTGGCTAATGACATAATAACATCTGATTAAGTGAGGTTATGGATATCTCAACACACGATTTTATAAATCAGACATTATGACAAAATTACTGATGTAATGCTATTTGTATGCTAGATCATTACAGATAATAAGGATCACAAGAAATACTCAAGGATCAATATTGAACTCAAGCTGAATAACAAGCAAATCACATACAGCATGCAATTAATTTAGCTTTTTAAAAGTTCTCTTCAGGCAACTTATTTTCCACCAAGATGCTGAGAATGAACGCAGCTTATTATAGGTTTTTGCCAATTACCAGACAAAATGAGTCTGGCAAAAGGCTAAATTGATATTACCCATTGCTCTCCACAAGCATTTCGATAAAAAACTGTCCAGTTTGCTTTGCATGCATCTGTAAGTACTAATGACAATTCTGCAAGGCTGGTTTACTAGCAGTGATTAAAACCATATGTAATTGAATTAAATGAGATAATGATTCATTGTAATCCATAATCACATGCAAGGACAACAATGAAAATTAAGTCTAAGTTAAAAGCATGTTATTAAAAAATATTAAAAATAGTATAAATGAAAGAATTAAAAAAAGGAATAAAAAGCTATGTTGAAGCATTTTCTTGTTGATTCATTAAAATAATAATTCATATGTTTAATATTTTGTCTTATACAAAACTCACACTATAACACCATTATATATATAACCATACTTCTAGTACAAACAAAAAAAAAAATTAAAATCAGATCAAGTATTTTAAAGTAAATCTCCCAAAATAATTTCAGGGTAATTCTGATAATTCTGATCTCCACTAAAAGCTCTGCAACTGTGTGAAACTTCGCTCTAACAGAGATTCTAAATTTACGCTGTATTAAAAAAGAGCAAAGTGTGGCACTGAGCACCATGATCTGCTATATACTAAAATATTCTAGTATAAAAATGGCATTCTCAGAAACTTTCAAAGTGGCTTGAGCTTCTCTTATATTTGGTTTAGGTTGATTATTTCAACAGCGACAGAGACGAGGTAATTATTCAGGTCATCAGTCCTGCGAGAAGTGGTGTTTATGTGCTACAGAAACCCATCAAGCACATAAGCCCTAATATTATCTGCAGAAAATAATTTAGGCTGCCCTTTTAAAGAAAGGGCTGCAACAGCTTAGTCACATGCACATTTGTATTGGGAAAGTGACAAAAAAAAGGAAAATTAAATGAATTTTGTCCAACAGTTATTTGATCAAAACTCCACATGCCTGGAGGAGGAAAGGGGGGAGAGGCTAATTTTGCCAGGGAAAGTGATCAGAGAAATACAAAGGGGTATCCAAATATGGACCATCAGTGTGCAAAACTCTCTGCCTGCTCTGCAGAGGAGCAAAGTAGCCCAAAGCCTAATCCAATATCCAAAATCGAGTTCAAATGGTATTGCCCTTGCCAGTGCCTCGATACAGAAGGTACAAAATTGATACCTCTGTTTTGCAGTGTTATTTACAGATCCATTTCCCAGTATGGACTGCAGTTTACTACATAAAAACACAGTCCAGTCCATGGACACACTGATGATGACCCATCATTTTTCTGCTCCAATTTTTGTGATGTGTTCAGCTTCACTTATTTCACTTATTTCATAAACACCTCTTCAATCAGTCAGGTCATATGTCTTTAAGGAAAGGTATATGTATAATCTCTGCAGAAATCCTTACTTAATCTATTCTAATCCAAATCCCCATGATCACCTCTAAAAATAGTTCCAGGAAAGTTCGTTTTACTATGCCTGCAAAAGCTTGCATTACACAACGAAGAGAACCTGTGCCACTTGTGTAATAAAGCAGACAACAGGAAAAGGTAATAAAAATAGTGGGATTTTCTTTATTTACTAACATGTACGTCATCTGAATTAAAAACATCTGACAGAAACCTCAGAAGTAACTGCTAAGAGCCATAAGGGATTTACAAGGCAAATAAATACATGCTGAGTGGTCAGAGATATTCCAGTGGGTAAGATATATAAAGAATATGTGGCAATTCTGAGAGATGCTTATGAGATATTAACCCTTCTCTATTTTTTTATAATATCAAGATACATAAAAAAGCATATAATTCAGTAGGATATCTAAACCTCATGAGCTGATGGGGACCTAAGGGTTGTGCACTGTTCCATAGGAGGTTGGAACATGTGTCCAGCTCCTGCACTGCCCCACATATCCCAACACCAGCCATCTGGCTGCCTTTTGACACAGCTTTCTTGACTAAGGTCTGAAGATATGATGGGAAGCCTGGTGAGAGGAGAACAGAATCATTACACCAAAAATGGTGATCCTTCTTTTCTCCTTTCTCCTGCAGGGAGTTCTAATCTTCCCATGAGGCAAAGTCCATGTAAGAAAACACCCAGGTGCCTGGGAGCCCCACACCTTATCATGCACCCCTTGGAGGCTCCAGGAGCCATGTAGGGTGACTTCTCTCTCACACTTCTTTATTTGCTCCATCTGCCCCCACCTCTCACCCCATATCACACCATGTCCAAGGGCCTGGAGAGCTGATGAAGCACAGAAGACATTTTTGGACTGTACAACCTGACCAGCAGCCAGCAGTGGCCAGCACCTCCTCTCCCCATTGCTGGAGAAAAGGGCTGCTCTGTTCCTGGCTGTATAGCATCTTCTGGACAATCATTTCCATGGCACAAGTAGGCCAGAAGCAGAGGACACTCAGGATTATATCTAACAGTGAGAAAAACCCTGCAGAAATATATGAGCCAAAGGATGCCGTGCTGACTGAGTCGTAGGAGGCCTGGGCTGTGCTGCCAGTGTTTTCCTCTGACTTATGCTGACACTTGATCACACTTCTTGAAACAGCAACAACTGGATCTATGTTATGACATGAAAAATCTTTTACTGCTCTTTCCTCTGAACCTCAGCTAGAACTGAACATGTAAACAAGAACCAGCAGCAGCCACAACTAGCTTGGACATATTTTAACACTGAGATGCTTGAGTTAAGAAATTTACTGTGATTCCTTTAACACATATTTAAAAAGAAATAAAAACTGCTCAGGATGTTAGCAGATATACACATTCATGCTCAATATCAATTTTGCTAAGATACTATATTATTTTTCGGTGACAGCTGGTGAAGGATTAGGAATTTACTCATCAATCTGAAGTTTCAGCAGAAGGAAGTTCCTTTGCTAGTCACAGCCAAATAATATGCAACAAAGCAATATACAGAATCAAGAAGTTTATATGGAAAAAGAAGAAACTGGGATCATTTTCCCACAGAGTGATCTTTGATGTATGCAATCAATCAAAAATAAAGCTTTGCAATGTATGCAAGATCTATGGTCACAGCAGAACTAAACAAGGCATAATTTTAGAGAAGGACTAAATAAGGAAACTTTAGGGAAATACTGCTTAATACAAATAACATATCCTTGAACTCACAGGTCATCAGTGGAGCTTACCATCATTATACATAAGATAAAAGGAAGTTGTATCGGGATCCAATAAGATGGCAAAACAGCCCAGAATTCCATTTTTGAGAAAGAGTTCTCTGTTCTGTTTTTGAGGTGCCTGGCTGCAAAGAACAGAAAGTAGTGTGGGAAAATGGTAGGGGAAGAAACACAAATTGTATCAGATTAAAATTAATATTTTAATTTTATTTAGACTGTCATGTTGGGTACAACTAATAAATAGTCATGATCCTTGATTAATAATGTAGCCTTTACTACTCCTAGCTTATCTGTTTGTACTGTACGTTGTAACAAGCACTGCAGGTTAGTACTGTCAAATGTTAGTGTTGAGATTTCATTGTGTTGGTGGTAGTAACACAAGATCCATAGCAGCCAAATTTATACAGTCCTCCTTGTTATGCCTGTTTTAGCATCAGTGCTAAATGCAAGACATTCTGCTTTTAAAAAAATCAACATGTCTGGCTTCAGCGAAGAATGTAAATTATGTACTGTGAGGGTGGTGGGGCACTGGGACAGGCTGCCCAGAGAAGCTGTGGATGCCCCATCCCTGGAAGTGCTCAAGGGCAGGTTGGATGGGCCCTGAACAACGTGGTCTACTGGAGGGTGTCCCTGCCCATCGTAAAGGGGCTGGAACCAAATAATCTTTAAGGCCTCTTTGAGCTCAAACCATTCTGTGATACTGTGATTTATTTCATATGGGGATCCTGATATAAACCCTGAAGGCATTTCTACCACAAATCCCATGTCTTTACTTCAAGGTGCTTTGAACATTAGCAACCCAAACCATTAGTTAATGGGAAGGGCAGTGAGAGCAGTGTGACAGGCTCCCTCCATCATCAGGGTCCTGCTACAGCAAATGGTGAGTGGATTTTATTTTTTTTTTTCTTTCACTGGCTTGATATGCAATGTTTGCAAAGGCTTCCAATGGCTGGAAACCATTCCGTGAACAAGGATAATGTATTTCTGGGTGCTTAAATGAACTGTACCTTACTGTGGTTTTCTTGGAACAGCTGTTTCCAGCTATCAATAGATTAAAAGCAGAAAAGTACTGACTGCTTCCTCCTGAGGACACCTGAGGCTGGGACCACCTGCTGCTTTGGCTATTTGCTGCACAAAGCTGCAGTGGGTTTGGGCATCACTGGAAGAAAGAGTGCTTGTAATAAACCTCAAACTACACCTTTTGTGAATATAATTATATGTAAAACATTTTGGAGAGTCTCTCAATTGCCCGATTACTTCAAAATCCAATGTCAAAATTGTAGCCTTCCCACGAATTCACTGAAGCATTTTGTTTACTCTATTTTCAATAAGACAAACCACCTAAAAGGTAAAAAAAATGCTAGTCAAATCTGGATGATCTAACAGCATAACCTAACCTGGTGTGACCTGTATACAGTGCACGGTCTCAGCACGTAAGACCTCTGGGAACATTCAGAAACAAGTTTAGATGTGAACTTCAGCTCCTGTGCCTGACAAACTCTACTGTCAACTTCTCTCCTTGCTTTTAACTATACATGTACCTTCATACACACTTAGGATG